TTCTCCTCACACACTGTATCTTATATATAATCTTGTGCATCTTGCATTTTGTCATTTAATCCCTTATCCTGGAGATTTTGTTCTCGAATTTTAGATATATCACATTCTTTTGAACATCTGTGTGATAGTTCACTGTGTTGATTTATTCTGAATTATCAAGTGCCCTATTAGTGTATATTTATCTGAATATACATTTATTTTGGCTGTTATGAGCCATTTTATAATAAACGATATCTTTGTGTTGCTCAGCATTTAATGTATAGTAGGGATTGGTAAACTATGGCCCATAGTTGGCCATCTTTTTTTATTTAAAAAATTTGTGTTGGATCACAGCCATGTCCATTTATTTTTATTTTGTCTATGGCTGCATTCAAACTAGAGTCAATAAGTGGAATAGTTGTGACAGAGGCCTGATGGCTCACAAAACTGAAAGTGATTTACTACCTGACCCTCTTAGAGTTGGTTGGCCCCTCACATATAGTATAAATTATTAGAAATGGATTGCTAGGTCAAAGAGTATGCATGTTTTAAACTAAAATTCAAATGTAGATTTTTATTTTTCCAAATTACCAATCCAAAAGGTTGACCTATATATAATCCTATAGTATATGAGAGTGTATAATTTCCTTATCCTTTCTTACCAGGAGTTTCTTACCAAGTGGTTTTTATCAAAGAAACAAAAGAACTTGTCCATCAGATAGGTCAAAATTGATATCACATTATTTTGCTTTGCATTTGTCTAATTATGACAAACTGGGTATATTTTCAAAAATTTCGAGGGGCATTTACGTATTTTCTATTAATTGTCATTTTATGATTTTTGCCTACTTAAAAAAATTGCATATTCATGTTTTTTACTGATTTTAAAGTTATTTACATATAAAGTAGGTAGCCCTATTTCTGTCATGTGATATAGATTTCATCTCAAGAAATTCATTTTGGATTTTTAGAAGTATCTTCCATATCTCTACCTTTGGAATATATATATTACAATTACAATAATTTTTAATGTCCTTGTTTCCTAATTCTGATATCTTTGTCAGTTTAGGGTTGGTTTTGTCTTCTTTTTGACTTTTGAATGTATACATTTCCTTGGGCTTCAATCTCTTTGTACTCATTTGGTGATTTTTATCAGCTCCCACAGTTTTAACTCTTACTTTGAAACAGGTGGTTTCCAAGTATGTATCTTTTTGCTCATACCTGAAATCTTGGTTGTGATTATTTCTAACAGTCGTTGGACATCTGCCAGCTCATAGTTACCCTATTTAAAACTGAGCCAGCATTCCTTGATTTCTTCACTTAGATTATTGATATCACTATTCTCTTGCTGTCATTTTTGACCTTTCCCTTATTTTAAACTGTAATCCAGTCTATTGTGTCCTTTTCTGTCTGAATGTTTTTTTTGAGTTGGAGTCTCACTCTGTCACCCCGGATGAAGTACATTGGCATAGTCAAGGCAGCTGTAGCCTTGATCTGCTGGGCTCAGGTAATCCTTTTGCCTCAGCCTTCCAAATAGCTGGAACTACAGGCTCACCCCATCACAACCAGCTAATTTATTGATTTATTATAGAGACGAGGTCTCGCCAAGTTGCCCAGACTGGTTTCAAACCCATAGGCTCAGGCAATACTCTCGCCTCCACCTCCCAAGTGCTGGGATTATAGGCATGAGCTGCTGCGTCCAACATGAAATATTTTTCATACCTGATTTTCCTGTGACTTTCATACCTTTTATTAACTCTGGCTTTGTTATGGACTGAATATTTGTGTCCTCCCAGAACTCTTATGTTGAAATACTAAAAATAGGTCCTCAGGGATGGAATTAGATCATGAGGGTAGGGCCCTTGTGAATGGAATTAGTGCCGTTATAAGAAGAGACATGAGAACTTGTTCTCTTTCTGCTCTCTGCTGTATGAGGATACAATGAGAACATGGCCATCTGCAGGCTAGGAAGTAGGCCCTCACCAGACTTCAGATATGCTGGCACCTGCTTCTTGGCCTCTAAAACTAAGAGAAGTAAATGTTTGTGTTTAAGCCAACCAGTCTGTGGTATATTTGTTATAGTAGCCTGAACTGGTTGAAATCTAGAGTATTTACTGTCACTTTTATATTGGTCTTCTTGCCTCCAGGCTCGCTCTTCTTCAAGTTAATCTTTGTACACTGCTGCCTCATTTCTATTCCTCAAGCCAAAGTCTCGTCTGTCATATCTCTTGCCTAACCCTTCAGTAGCTACCTTTTGCCTACAAAATACAAATTGTTTAGCAACCTTCCACCCTTCCACATTATGATTACATCATTTCTTTCACTCTTAATCTCCTGCTGTTTTGTTTCTTTGTGCATTTTCTAGGAAGAATGGAGGGCAGTGTCATACATTCATTACAAGTTGAAAATCTAGAATAGACTGGTTTTGATTCTTGGCATTACAACTTACTAAAGTCTTAGACATTTTGTTTATACTTGCTAGACATCAGGGTTCTTAGTTGGAAGATAGCATATGGTGACAATGCTATTTATAAAGTACTTAGTACAGTATCTGGCATGTAGTAAAATTGCAGTAAGTATTTACTATTACTCATTTCTTCTTGGCTCTCCTAGTTCCTTGCATATATTCATGTTCCTTTTTCTATATGGAGTTCCTTTCTTTCCTACCCTTCTATCCATTTGAAATCCTATCCATCCTAGAGTATCTGGGTCAAATACCACATTCTTCAAGTTTCCAAAGTATGAATTCTCCTTTTTAAAAAATACTTTCTCCTAAACTGTCTTATATTAGTGTTGTGTGCAGAGTTTATTTCTTCTTGAATTTTTAAGCTTGTTGAAGGCAAGCACTATGTCTCATTGTGTCTTCCATGGTATCTGGCAAGGTACATGTGACAGTTACTTAATATTTGTTGAATTTGTGATTGAATTGTGGTCCTACTTTGCCGTACTTACTAAGTGTTTGACTAGAGTGAGTGACCTGTTAACTACCTTTAAGTATAATCTTCTTCGTTTCTAATGTTTTTAGACTAAGTCATCTCTTTTCTAACCTTAACAGTCTGGCATAGCAGTTTACATTTTCTCTTTGGTTATTATTGTTAGTTTGTTTATGAGCATTCATTAGCATTCACTGACAAAGTATACTTCTCATTCTGTTTAATATCAAAATAAAATTGTCATTGTGAATCCTTGTGAGCTAGAAAGACAAGACTCCTGTTATCCCAGTGTATTAAACTTAGCACTTATAAAGTGATGTTGTACAGGAATGACACCCACATTTAATGGAAGGTGTCAGAGTCAATCATCAAGTTAAAAGGATTCAAATAGACTTCTAACCCAAGAAGATCTCTAGTTCTTACACATTAGGGCTTCAAATAATTTGCTTTTAAGAAATCGCATTACATTCAGATTAAGATCAAGGAAGAACAGGTTAAGTTCAGCTGAGATGACCTGAGGCTTAAAAGGTGACTGTGATTAATTGTTGCACTAAACAGTTTTAATACTGGAGTTCTTTAAAGACAAAGAAAAAAATGCTGGGAAATAGAAGGGCATGTAGAGTTAATTCTCTTCCTTCACTCACTAGACTGAGCTTTTGAAGGGCAGGCACTGCATGAAGTACTGTCAGCTCTGTCATAGTACTTCATGCGATGAATATTTGTTGAGTGAAGTTCTCAGTCTAGAAACTGAGAAATTGCATCTAGTGTTAGTTCCATGATAATGTAAAATCTTCCCACTATCTAAAGCATTACTTTGAATCCTGTGCCTTCAATGTGATTTTGAAAAGCCTTTTATGAAAAAGAAAAAAGTAAAACCTCTATAGTTTTTAAGAGTTTTTTTTTTAAAGGGAGTTTCTCTTTTATGAAAGTAGTTATTAGACTAAGGTTCTGATACTGCTACCTTTGCTTTTAAAGCCAGTGGAAATATCCCCCCTTTTCTCTTCCAGGACCAGTTATATAAACGAGTGATTACATTCTCTTTGGTTTAACAATTTATTAAGTTTTTTTAATACTATTAGAAGGGATGGTTTTGATAATTGTGGTAGTGGGAAATTTTTATACCCAGTACATGACATAGGTCTTACTGAAAACTTTCCATCTTTTATACGTATTATTAAAGATGATAATATAGATACAAGGAATCTAGAATACTTCACATAATAGGTTTAGTACATAATAGGTGTTTATGAATGATAACATTCTTGAGTTTATTGTTAAAAATAGTAAAGAAATGCTATAGAGGGCCGGGCTCAGTGGCTCAGCTTGTAATTCCAGCACTTTGGGAGGCCAAGGCGAGTGGATTGCCTGAGCCTGTGGGTTCAAGACCAGCCCGAGCAATTTGACGAGACCTCGTCTCTTCAATAAAATAAAAAATAACCAGGCGTGGTAGCACACGTCTGTAGTTCTGGCTACTCGGAAGACTGAGGTGGAAGGATCACTGGAGCCCAGCAGGTCGACGCTGGAATGACTGTGAGCGTGCGTGCCATCGCACTCCAGCCTGGGCAAAGGAGTGAGACTCCAATTCAAAAAAAAAA